CACCCGAACCCGTAGACTCAGTGCCCGGCGACCCTCCTGCAAGCACGGAAGATGCTGGATTAGGTGCAGCTGCACTTGAGCCTTGTTCGGTTAGAAGGGAGGTATTTTTGCTCAATGATTTGGAGCACATCGGTATGTCGAGAAAAGCGAATGCGGCTGAGAAGGGCTCTCAAGATATCGCACATCGAGCTACACCTGGAAGTATGCGATTCAGGTCGCAATCAAGTATGGCTCGAAATTTCGTCTTTGGCAAATGGATAGTAAACACCAAGCAATCCGACTGCAGATATGCAGAACATCACGATTATTGCAGATGCGTTCGTGTTTTTTGTCCTTCTACGCACTACCGTTGTGTATGTGACCTGGACTGCGAGGACTTTTCAAATTTCTTTCCAGTGGTCGCTGCTTTAGCGACGTAGACCGAAAGAGTAACTTTCTAAACGCCAAAGAATTCTTTCTGCAGGCCGACATGTACCGCGGAGAGCATCTACATAGTCGGGAGGACTTCTTTAAGATGTAAATGTGTTACGGTTGGGCAGTGTTGATGGATTGTGTGTTGTTCCCAAATATATGTATGTGAGCCTGCTTTATATAGTGCCATCCCTCGAATAGTGCCATAGCTAGAGGTCTGTCACGCTATAGCCCTATATCGTAGGAGGCACTGTACAAGTACACCCGGGGACGGTATTTAGTGTCACTGATACCTTTTCCGTGATGGAAATATCGACCCCTAAACATATATTAATGTCAGTGATACTATTTCCGTACTTACACTATTTCAGTGAAAACGGTATTACTGTCACTGATATTGTCAAACGTAACAATGAATAGTGTAAGTTAGATCCCATTAGAGCCTACAGCATTTCTTTTCGTCCTACCAAAACCTCACATGCCTGCCTCTAATCACAAGTCCTGACGCTGGCCCCCCCTCCTCTTTCCTTATCGCAGATGCCCCTTGTTACAACTCTGCATCGCCCAACCTTTTCCTATACACCAGACCAAAGACCGACCAGTTGACCTGTTCTTGGTACAAAACGCTTTTCAGTAATGAATGCCTGCGTATCTCCACTCCCGCGCACAAATTAGTGCTCCCGAAACGAACCGAACGAATCGCATACCACTATCATCCCTCCGGACCGGCAGTGAGATGGGTCCGGCTCAAAGGAAGGATTGTTCTATGTCTGGATTGATCCGTCGTCGTCCCGGGCTCTGACATGTATTAGTGTCAGTGACACTATTTACGTGGTGACACTAATTTAGCGCTGACACTAAATACCGTCCCCGGTGTACAGTACCCTTCAAGGGTAGTACGGTACGCTGGCAAGATCACGAGGATGCCCTCAACTTGCCACTCCCCCAAAACTCTTCTCCCAAGTACAACCGTGGCCGTACGGTCTACCACGGCACGTACAGTATTCGGTACGCATGCGGCATGCATCGGCGTGAGTACCAACGGTAACATTACCCCCGCGGTACTCGCCGCGGCCCGTCTCTCTCGACGCGTGGCGCGGCCGGCGCGCCGCACAGCCCGCACAGCCCACGGCAGCAACGCCGGCACGAAGAGCGCGGGCCCTCTTCCCGCTCGGAGCGGGTCGCCGCTTGCAACGCGTCTGACGTGTGCCTGGCGCGTCTCTTGTGCGGGCGGGCGAGACGCTGGCGAGAAACGACCAATCAGGGTGGTGCCAGGCCTAATTTACAGTACACGCACTGCCACGCCTTGCGCACGTGTCACGCGCGCACAACGAGGCCGCCGCTCGTCAGGCCAGCAATGCAAGCCGGATGCGCAGCCACTGCCGCTGCGGCCTGTCGCTCGCGCCCCTTGTCGCTCGCACCATTGTCGCCGCGTCGGACGGGAATAGGGAGGGGGCGGGAGCGGGCGCGGCTTTCATAGGTCCTTATATATATAAGTTATAAATTTATAAAGGTTGTCCATAAAGTCACGAAAACGCGTGTTTTGGCGGCGAGTTTGCTCGGATTTTCTAAACGAAAAATTTTCAAACAACGCGTTTGGCAAAACTGACGGCATACCGGAAACTGGGGGCATGTGAGTTTTCCACGAGTTTCACATCCGCCGGATCACAGCAGTGCCGGATCGACCTGTCTTGAGGGAAAACGAAGTGGGTGTTCCGTTCTTTTCATCAGCACAAACGAGTCTCAGACTGCACGGGTCGTATCGATATGCGTCATGGACACCCCTATCGCTTCATCTGCGCAGAGTTCATCAATGGATCAAAGCGCGACAGGATCTGCCTCAGTTGCTGCCGAAGCAACCGCGAAAGATAGACAAGTAGAAGCTTCTAAAAAGCGGTCCTCTCCAAACGGCCCCCTCAGCCTGTCAAGAAGACGAAACACATCGCCCTTTCGACTGAGAACCATTCTATCTTTCTGGCGAGCTACAATATTCGCTTCGGCGAGTATTCGCACAGGTGCACGTGATCCGTCGGGCGGCACAACGATGTGGCAGACTCGCGTTTGTAGCGGGCAGGAACCTTGCTGGAGGTCAGTCCGCAAAACTTGTGGTGGGTTTTTCAAACTCGGGTTTACTTCACGTACATACATGCCCTCGGCAATAACATACTGCGAAAAATTGGGATAACAGTTGTGAATGTACAGAAAGACTAAGAATCTAATGAAGTTTCAATCTTCGGTTGATATTTTAAACAGTTTGCTTTCGAAGACATCAACACATAACGTTTTGAGGTTGGTCAAAAAGGATTCTCTTTCGGTATTCTAAAAATAACTGGAAAAGACGTGCAAATCTCACCAAACTCCACCCTTCCGCAACCAGAAGTCAACTTCGGTGGCGAGAGTATCCTTTTCCTTCTTGTTGAGCAAGCGCAAGTCCAGAAAAAGTTGAAAAGTGAGCTCATACAGCATGCATGAGGCCACTTTTCAACTTTTTCAGGTCCCTTGCCGTCTAGCTAGTGTCTATCTGACCACGTCATCATTATCATCATGCGTTATCATAACATTAAATCTGCGAATTTTATTTCTTTTCAACTTTGATGGCCACGGTTTCAATTCTTCTTTGGTACGTTCACTCGTTTTAAAAAATTTGTGAAGGTAAAACCGAATAGAAAACACTTTACGGAATGTCTCTATGGTACTGATGTAAAATTAGCTTTAAGAAAATGCTTTGTGTAAGCTGACTTTTCTTTTGAACACGTTTATATGCATCAACGACTTGGTTTCATTAAAATCGACAAGAAATACTTTACCAGTGGTACAGTAATGGCCTTCTAGTTTCAAAAAACAGAAGTGGAATCGTGAGGTTGGTTGTCTAGGAAAAATAAAATACCTTTTGTCCTCATATGAGGACTAACGGTCCGATAGACACTAGACACTGGGGTCTGTCCGAACATGAGAACAGTGTTGGTTTTGTGAGAGAACGTTCCTGGTTGCAAAAACAATACATACGTTGAAATGCATACTACTGTATTTTGAAAGTGTTTATGGGCCCCATTTTCTTGCGTACTTGTCCTCTGCAATTACATCATACAGAACACTGGGATAGCTGTTTCGAATGCACTGAAAGACTGAAACTATTTTGCATGTAAAATACCCGATTCCTATTCTAATTCTTTGTTTTCGTTTCGAAGCTATGATACATACAGTGTTTCAATGTGGGCTAAAAAGGCTTCTTTTCCAGTCGTTTCTGAAAACAAACCTGAAGAAAATGTACTGTTGTGGAACCAACGGTCTCGAACCAGGCAGTATGGCAAGATGACAGACATCGCAAGTGCAGCAAGATCCTAAATGCAATAAGTGAATGCGATGCATTAGTGCAGATGGCAAATACCTGAATGCAAAATGTGATGCATAAGAAGAGGGAATGCAAGTAAGAATGCACACGGGATGCCAACAGCGTTGGCATAGATAAGCGATAGCAAATGCAACCGTGAGCATAGCAAACTAGTATTAATAGAACGAACTCCTAGGCGATAGATAGGGGAGGCGACAGCAAGAGAATTAATCAACCTAAGGACAAGCAACCGTCCTTGAGCATTGTGCTCTTTACCGTGTTCGTAGAGTAGGTCACTGTCAAATACCATCCCCTGTCTAGTTACGTAGACACCCCAGCAATGACCGGATACAGTCCTTTTACAACTGTACCGTAGTCCTCACCAATCTCTTTGCTCTCTTAACGCAAAAGCTATTTACGGTAGGGATGATATCTTTCTCCTTCGTGTCGAGAATGCGCGAATCTGAATAATATGCATGCTGAAAGAGACATCTTATGAGGACGCTGGTCGGATAGACACCATTATGAGAATATGGTTATTTTTTGAGAGAAGGTGTGTACAAGAAAGACATACAGTATGCACAATACGAGTTTTGGAAATTACAGTCTAGTTGAGATGCATCCCAACTGACTTCATCTGTCGCAAAAACGCACAGTGCGAGTTAAAATCTAAACGCGCAATACGGGTAGCATCTCACCACTGTCAACGGGCTTGCCCGTGAAGCCTCCTCCTCATTATACTCGCGACATAGCATCGAGACATGTATTACGCCAGCAACAGCACTTGACTTCCAAAATATGCGTGCTGTTGAAGGGGCGAGGATGACAAATGCGCGCTGTAGTCACATTGTCATTGAATAGACAAGTTATCCATCTGGTGCTGTATTTTGTTTGTACTGCTTCGGTGAAGCACCGTCACAAATTTTGGCACCAAGGCAAAATAATTCACATACGATTGCACGAGTATGTAGCTTTCTGTGTCAATACGTGGATGACCGGTCTCCTCTCTTCTCCTCTCTTTTCACACTTCGAACAGCTTCTGGATGTGTAAATTCTTTCATTGTTGAGCATACGTGGATCTTCTATGGACGCATTTGTTTTACATAAATAATAACCTTTGTCCGGAATAAAGCGAAAACGACTCTGCCATAAAATTTTCATTTTCCTCTGCACTACCAGAACCGAAAAAGGTCTACATATTGAAACCAAACGGTGCCTGTATGCCTTTGCCCCCGCAGAACATCTCAATTTTTTCTCCATGTTTGCTGGGTTAGCTTTGAGTTCGTACCTTGCTTTTCTTGTCACGTTCGTTTCTGGTGTTCCTCTAAGCACGAAAAGTAACTACGGCGTGGTAAGGCACAATGGATCACTGGACCGACTTGTGTTTCAATGTGCATCGTCATTGCAGAGTTCAGATCTGACGAAGAGTGAAAGTGGGGTCGTTTTCACGGGCTGTTCAATCCCCATTCGAACAAGAACAGGGGAAAGCGCACCTACACCCGAACCCGTAGACTCAGCGCCCGGCGACCCTCCTGCAAGCACGGACGATGGTGCGGCTGCACTTACGTCATGTTCTGATAAAAGGGAGGTATTTTTGCTCGATGATTTAGAGCACATCAGTATGTTCAGAGAAGCGACTGCAGCTGAAAAGGGCTCTCAAGATATCGCACATCGAGCTACACCTGGAAGTATGCGATTCAGGTCGCAATCAAGTATGACTAGAAATTTCGTATTAGACGAATGGATAGTACACAAGAAGCCATCCGACTGCAGACAACCTTTCGATTTTTGCAGATGCGTTCGTGTTATTTGTCCTCCCAATCACTACCGTTGTATATGTGAACTGAAATGCTAGGACTTTTCAAAATTCTTTTGATGGCCCGCTGCTTTAGCGACGTAGACCGAAGGAGTAATCTTTCTAAACGCCAAAGAATTCTTTCTGCGGGCCGACATGTACCGCGGAGAGCATCTACATAGTCGGGAGACCTGGACAGGAAGCATGGCCTTCCAGTTTTCTCCTAATATAAACGGCATTGAAGGATATTTTAGGTCTGCCGAGAGCTTCATTCTATCACACAAACCTTCAAATGTAATAAAAGCACCGATGGCACATGATTACTATTGTTGTCGATGCGCCGCGTGGACTGCACTTGGGTCGTTAGCCCTTGAGGCCTGCAATACACGTATACTGTACGAGGAACGGTAACCTGCTGTGATGACCATGAAGTCAGGTCCACGAGAGAGATAAGTGCGGCATATGAAAAACAATCTACAAACGTGGGCGGGTTTCAGGATTGAACAGCGGTGTGTGCGATATTGCGGTCGCGGCGGGTTGATAGCATTTGTGCGTAACTGTGGATCGTGGGGGAGGTGCGCGGTGACGATGGAGGAGATGCACTGTGAAATGGATCGGTGCAAGGTGACGGTGGGGTTGGGCTGCAGGTGCAGAATCCACTTGAACTGCTCGCCGGCGTCGACCTCTACGCGCTTGATCATGCTGTAGCAGCCTACGGCGGCGTAGAACCGCATAAATTTATGCGAGTAGTGCGCACGGGTCGCGCTGGGCTTCCTGTGGCACGCAGACTGCGCGGGGAGGTGGACGTCGGCCGCGGAGTAGGTGGAGACTGCGGCGGCGCGGGCGGCGTCGAAGACGTGTTGCAGCTCGCCGATCTCGTGCTCCTTCCGGTAGTTGCGGTCCGTGCCCTCGCGGAAGTAGTCGCCGTAGAGGTCGAGGTGGTAGAAGACGGCGGCGTACGGGCCCAGGGCGCGGACGGCGTCGAGGTTCTGGCGGTACACGGACTTGAGGGTGGCGACGTGGCCCGCGGTGCACACGGCGAGGCGGTGGCCCGCGGGGAGGTTGGCCGTGGAATCCGCGAAGGGCATGGGCGGGGCGGCGGCAGACAGCGCGGACGTGACGGCGGCTTTGACGCGGTTGGCCGCCGGTTGGTCAACGTTGTGCATGAGCAGGACCAGGGCGGCGCCGAAGAGCGTGACCAGGGCGAGCAGGCGCCCCAGCGAGGATGGCGGGGCCGGCGGCGGCGGGCGTCGGCGCCGGCGGCGGGTCGTCGGCAGGGGACGGTCGCGTCCGCGGGGATGGCATCGCGCGAAGTAGGGGGAGGGGGAGACGTGGATCGGGGGGGAGGGGGTGGGGCGGAGAGGAGGGTGGAATTGAAAGCTGAGGGGGGGGATGCGACGGTGGGAAATCGATGGGCTCGATGCGGTACTACTGTACGTGTACAGTTGTGTGAACCAGCCTACGTGTTGGCGCATAGTATTTGTGAACTGGTAGATACAGGTTGAACACGTTTTACACATTACGAATATGAAACGGGGTCATACTGGAAGTGCACGTGTCACAATTGACGCACGCCGCAATGCGCCGTGGCCGTTCAGTGAGGGGTCGCATAGGCAGAACTCAGGGAATGGAGGCACTCTAAGAGAGTGCAAAAGGCAGCGAACGCAAAAAGAAAGAGCGCAGAGGAACGGGAATCCAGGACGAGAGGAGGGAAGAATGATAGGTACTTAATAGGGAAGCTAGAGTACGATAGTCTAAAGAAAAAGAGTTTCAGGGTGCTGGCACGGCGAACTCTTCGTTAGGAACGGCCCTCAGGGCCGTTACATCGCTGTGAGATATTTTTAGGGAAAAATCGCATTTTACTGTAGAGGGAGATTTTATTCTGTAGTCCGAGATTTTATTTGAATTTTAGAGAAGCGCACGCGTACGGCCCGGCGGAATCCGGGCCGGACGCGTGGACGCTTCTGGAAGGAATTTCGTAGAAATAAAAGAGAGAGGGTGACGGGCGCTGCGGGGAAGGGGGAGACGAGTCGGAAAACCCTCACCACGAACGGCACGCTCCCCAGAACCGCCTCCCCCATTTCACCAACAACATGGTACTCTTGTGGAGGGCCGACGCAGACACAAGTGCGGGCCCTAACCCTGTTACCTACGATGGGTCGAACGGGTCAGATGTTTCCAAGTTTCTGTTCGTATACGAGAACATCATTATGCGCGGCAAGCCTGACGAGGAGAAGGCAGGAGCTATCCTATGCCACCTCGAGGGTGCCGCGTTCGACTATTACTATGAAACGTATAGTCATAATGGGAGTCTGACCGAGGCCGCCAGTAACTGGGACGGTGTGAAGAGCGCCCTGTCTGACCGTTTTACGGAGGCACCGAGGCCAGAAGAAAACATCCAGAAGGCTATGAGTTGCCGACTGGATGGTAAGAACTTGCTTACTTCGATGGATGAAATGAACAAGCTCTACAGAAGGGCTGGTTTCAACGACGAGGCAAAGTACGGCTTGCTTCGCAATGCCGTAATGGCACATTTGGATGTTGCTCAGTTCGCGATCTATCGTTCTCCGACGACGTACGAAGAACTGATGAAGACCGTGAAGGACTTTGCTGCAGGCCGTGACGCCTTCAAGGCGGCGAAAACTGCTGCGCAGTCCGTTGAACCTGTGACGCCCAAGCGCGTACTGGTGCGTTCTGATGTGGATCCTCGACAGGAAAAGCTGGAGAACAAGGTTGACGCCATCACCAACCAGCTGGCGGAACTGTCACTGATGATGAAGAAACGACAGACGCCAGGGGACAGTGATACGAGTTGGACATGTTCCTATTGCAAGGAACCAGGGCATTCAGCGACTCGTTGTCGTTCCAACCCACACCGAGATACTCGTTGCCCAACGTGTGGGAAGATTGGACACACGACGGAGACTTGCTGGTCCCGCTTTGCTAGAAAGAATGTGGCTCATGCACGTCCTCAAGATAACGCTGGCGCAGGAAGCGCTTATGGCCCCAAAGCAGGCGGTTCTGCCAACGACGCCGGTGACAAGGCCACCAGAGACTCGAAGCAAGTCACGGTCATAACTGAGACCACCAAGGGAGAATTGGTGGCAGCTACGAAACGCAACGCCGAAGGAGAGGCCTTGCCGAAGCAGTCGAAGAACCGTGAAGAAGTTTCGATCCCGAGGCTGCTGAATCCCACTCCAGTAGCTCCTAGGGGAACTCTCCCCTGGAATGAGCCGCTGAGAGTGCCGAGAGTGAAGCCTGCACGCCAGAAGAAGAAGAATATTTCAAAGAAGGCTGCACTCCAGGAGCACGTCGGCAAGTACAACGTCGTGTCAGAGCTGGCGAATGCGCCGTCTGGTCTAACATTTGGACAACTTGTCCGTGGAGACGCTGAAGGAGCAAGGAAGGAGATGAAGCGCCTTCTATCCAGGAGATTAGGGCGTTCTCGCGGGTTTGCGGGCCACACGGATGTCTTCCCGAGGCGTCTTCGGGTAGTTACTGTTCAAGTTTATGGAACTGATGCTCAAGCACTATTGGATTCGGGTGCGGTGCCGAACATCATGTCGCCGCACCTCATGAAGAGACTTTCTCTGACGCCAGAGAGTACGAAGAAACACATCACTGTGGCAGATGGGAAGAGCTCCCCTTGTGTTGGATCACTGCGCCAGGTCCCCGTCTCGTTTGGGGGACTGGTGAGCATGATGGACTTCCTTGTCGTTGCGGGAACACCGTACGACGTCATCGTGGGGATGCCGTCGTTAGAGGAGCTCCAAACGTGCATTGATTTGGGGCAACAGCATGTCCAAGTAACTGTGGGTGATGAGACGATTCGACTAAGTCTTGAGATGGATGAAGACCATAAGAAGCCGGGATCCGCTACCGACAGTGAGGACTTCACGTCAGACTCGGGGGCCGTGCCGGCTGACTCGACTGACACGGATGAAGACTTCGTCCTTTCGCTGCGTGAAAGGGTGCCGTTTGAACCAGACCTTGCCTGGGCGGGAGCAGTCACTGAGGACGAAGATCCTCATGCTGGACTTCCGGACCTATCTGGGGAAGGCTCAGAGTACGAGCCGGCGGATGAGAAAGAGAAGAAAGATGAGAAGGAGGAACTTCTCATGTCTAAGCTGAGCCATATAAGCAGAGAGAACGCCGACCGCATAATATGTTCTATCAAGAGTATGGGAATAGCTGCATGGTCTTTGGATGACCTCAGGCCGGCAGATGTCCCTGTGTCGCATTCTTTTGAGTTAAATGACGACAGACCCATTTCGCACGCCGTTCGGAGGCTCCCTCCGAGACACAACGCGGTAGTGCGCGAGGAGATCGAAAAGATGCAGAAGGCAGGGATCATTACCCCCTCTGTAGCTCCTTGGTCGTTTCCGGTCGTCATCGCAACGAAGAAGGACGGGAAACCTCGCTTCTGTGTTGACTACCGCGCGCTTAACCGGGTGATGAAGGCCGACAAGTGGCCGTTGCCCAAAATGGAAGAGATATTCGACGACCTTGAAGGAAGCAAAGTGTTCACTACCCTGGACTTGTTCTCGGGTTATTGGCAAGTCCGGATGGCTTCATGGTGCAAAGAACAGACGACGTTTGTCTGTCGGTACGGGACCTTTCAATTTGAAGTGATGCCATTCGGGCTCATGAACGCTCCTTCAACATTTCAAAGGATGATGGATGGCGTATTCAGAGACCTGCCATTCGTCCGAGTTTACCTTGATGACGTGGTTATCTTTTCAAAGTCCTTGGACGTCCATGTTGACCATTTAATTGAAGTGTTCGAGCTGATTGCTCGCAGTGGATTGAAGTTGAAGCTTGCGAAGTGTTCCTTCGCGCAATCACAGACCAGACTATTGGGGCACGTCATCGGAAAGAAGGGGATTGAGGTGGATCCAGAGAAGACATCGATCATTTGGGACACCCCCGAGCCGCGCACCAAGACGGAGTTACGAAGCTTCCTTGGGCTAGCGGGGTATTACCGCCGATTCATCCCTAAGTTCGCAGAAGTCTCTGCATCGTTGCATGCTGCTACTTCTACCAAAGTCGAATTTGAATTTACGGAAGAGATGCGGACCGCCTTCCAGGAGTTGAAGAAGAGGGTGACGTCTCCTCCGCTGTTGGCGCTCCCGAAGTTTGACGAACCCTTCGTGGTCGAGACAGATGCATCCAACATGGCAGTGGGAGCAGTTCTGGCTCAGAGGAAGGAAGACAAGAAGGTTCACCCGATACAATACGCCAGCAGGACGATGACGGAGACTGAGAAGAAGTACCCCACCTGTGAGAGAGAGGCGTTAGCGGTGATCTTCGCGCTAAAGAAATTTCGGGTGT